TCCTCGCCATGGTTCCTCTTCTTTTGCCTAACCGGCTTTTTCTTTGGATCCACAGCGAGCTTGTGAACTGCAAGATCCGGATGTATACCCGGCATCTCGTCCACTTCAAAGGCAAAAATGTCTTTGAATTCTTTGAGAAGCTGGTGCAATGCTTCGCCCAACTCCCCTAAGGCAACCGTCCCCACCTTGACGGTTCTCTCTGGACGGCTGTCATCCAGAATGAGGTCAGTGTTTTCACCAGCCGGTTGGGGACGGAACTCATCTGATCTCTCCCCAATCAGTGATTGCTATTTTTTTTCCTTTCTTGGCGGCCAAGGGATGGTCTGCCTTTCTTTTTTGGCCGGCTGCTAAGGGAGCAGGGCCGGCTTCCATGCTTTCTCCCAAAAGGGGGGGTTCCTCATTTATGCCGGCTGAGTGCACAGTCGACTTGACGGCTGTGAGGTAGCACTCCCTTGCCGTCTTCTGATCTCCACTCATGGAACCCACCGTCCCATCATCCCTCTCAAATTTGATTAACATGAGAGAGGGGATGATGACTGCCTTGGACTCATTGAGGGTTGGACGGCCCAAGATTATGTTGTAGGCGGTCAGTTCTTCAACCACAAGGAACTTAACCACCATATGTCGTCCTTCCCCCTTCTCGCCCATCCGGATGGGTAGGTCAATCCTCCCCACCGGATGCACTACTCCTCCCCCAAAGCCAACTAGGGGGTGAGGAGCCGGCTGCATGCTACCAGGCTTGTATTTCAGCTTTGCAAGGCACTGGTAGCTGATAAGATCAGACGAGCTCCCGGTATCTATAAGGATCCGGCCTACTCGCTGATTGGCAACCTTACACTCTACGACCAGAGGGTCGTCATGAGGCCGCCTGACCTTGCCCCGGTCCCTCTCAGAAACGAGGACTTCGGGGAAGGTATCCGGCGACGCCTGGCCCTCATCCACTGAGTTGACCAAACGCCGGATGTTGTCTTTAGCCCCCCGGATGGTAGGACCCCCTCCGGCGAAGCCGCCTGCTATGGTGAAGATTTGTTCTTCATCCGTATCAGAGTTGGCAGCCGGCTTCTTGGACGGATGCCCTTTGCTTTGCTTGGCTCCGCCCTTGGGATTTATTATATAGGACCTCAGGGCCCCTTCATCAGCCAGACGGTCCAGTTGCCGCCTGAGGGTATAACAGTCACTAGTGTCATGGCCAATGTCCTCGTGGAATTGGCAGTACTTGCTCTTGTCCCGGCTGCTAACGGGACTTTTCATGGGAGCCGGTTTCTCAATAGTCATCCGGTTCCTGACCTCCACGAGGATGGAGGATGGGTCTTTGTTGAACTCGTACTTAGGGACGTACGGTCTCAACTCCCTGGCTTTCTTCTGGGACGGCTGACCAGTACGGTCGGCTGCCCAGACTTCCTTCCGCTTGCCCTTGTCTTTGGCAGCCGGCTGGGCAGGCCGACTGTCTTTCCTTTCGGAATTTTTAGAGTCCGCCGGCTGCCTGATGGAGCACTGCTCTGTCGCCTGTATATAGGCTTCAGCTTCCATCAGTGCCTCTTGAAGGGTAGCAACCCTCTTCCGGACGAGGTCAAACTTGAAAGTTGACCCGTCCTTCAGACCCTTGAAGAAGTCTGTATAGGCAACCTCATCCGTCAGGCCGGCTATCTGAATTCGGGTCAGATTGAACCGCCTGACATAGGACCGAAGTCCTTCCTTTTCCCCCTGCTGTACTGCCCCTAGATCGAGGCTAGTCTTCTTGGCGGGAATGTTCATGGAGAAGTTGGACGTAAAGAGATACGCCAACGTTCTGAAATTGTTAATGCACCCGGCTGGGAGGTTGCCAAACCACCTCTGGGCTATGCCCTTGAGGGTAGCCGGGAAGCACTTACACCAGACGGCGTCGTCCAACCCCTTCAAGTACATGAGGTTGGTGTATGCCATGAGGTGATCTTCCGGGTTGGTGGTACCGTCGAAGGTACCTACCAATACGTTCTTGACCTTGGCCGGCTGAGCCGCCTCGACTATTTCTCTAGAGAAGGCTGACGGTTGCTCACCCAGGTTGAGCAGCCGGAGCTGCCAGTCGGCTGACTGGATGGGTGCCGCCTGACCTCCGAAGAGACCCGGCTGCATGTATGGAGACCCATAGGGCATGTATGGCGGCTGGGGCGCATACAATGCCGGCTGGATCACTTCAGGGCCAGTGCGCACGGACACTCCGAGCGACTGACTTCCTCTATTGGTTTCCGAATGCTTCATTGAAGTATTGCGGAAGCTGTCAGGGAAGGTCGAGGTGGAAGCCGACCCAGACAGCTGCTGACTTCTCTTTTCCTGGATTAAGATCTGGGCATCGGAGTAAGTCTTCTTGGACCCATCCGGCTGCATCTGCCGGATGGCTTTCCGTTGCCCTGATTCAGGGAAACGGAGTCTTGAAAGATCAATATGGGGCCCATCAGCCCCCTTCGGCTTAGGGTGCGGAGTAGGCGCCCGGTCTTTGACCGCCTGCCCCCTCTTTGAGGGAGAAGGCTTCTTTGCCGCCTGCCCCCTCTTTGAGGGAGAAGGCTTCTTGGCCGCCTGACCCCTGTTGGAATCAGTGGACCTCTTGATGATGTCCGTCAGCTCCCCCTTGAAACTAGTCATGAATTTCATGAGTTCGTCTCTGGTGACAGGGGTTGGGCCCTCCGCCGCCTGGGGTACCCCAGCAGGCTGGCCGGCTGGGGGGCCATGGACTGCATCCAATCCCCGTTCCCTTATTTCTCGAGAACAGGTGTGTCGCGACCTGAATGACCCGTCTGGGGCCATATAGGTTTCGACATCGTTATCATCACCACTGCTAGGGTCCGTGTGGACCTCGGCTTCAACCATAGGCCGTTTGCCTTCAACAGGCGGTACATAGTCGGAAGTCATCTTGGAAGTACTCTCCCCACAGACGGCGCCAAATGTTTCGGGGTTTTTATGTGTCCTACGGGAGAGTTACAATTCCGAGAATGGCTTGCTGACCGGCTGTGTACCTGCAAAACAACGAAACTCCGGTTGGGTGGAGTTCCGCCTCCGACGATCAAGTTAGGATTCGTACGAAGTGAATAGTGCGGAAATAAATGGTTTTCTCTCTGATTCAGAGAGAGTAAATGCGTATTGGTAGTTGTGTTTTGTGTTTGGGAATTTATGAATGCCCAATAAATGAGGTATTTTCCTCTATTTATAGGGTTGGGGAACTGTATTCCCACCAATTAGGACGTGTCACGTGTCAGCCTGGGATTGGCTCCCACTTGCCCTTTCTAGGGCTGACACGTGGCGCCCTCTGATTGGGCCAGGTGGCTAGGGTGTTTTTACCCTAATCAGTACTGTTATCCCTAGTTTTGGTGGTCACGTGGCTGCATATATATGGGGCGGGCAGGAGCGTAATGTTTTGCGCTGTTTGAGCAGGACACAGTTGTGTTCTGAATTGGTTACCTGGCGAGGTCGTCTTGCACAGGAGCACCTGGAATTGATTGATGGTAGTGGTCTGTCTCACTTAGCCGGGATCATGTTTAGGCGTTTTGACTGGCCGTTGATTTCTGCTTTTGCTGAGAGATGGAAACCAAATAGGAACACGTCTCATATGCCATTTGGGGGGATCACGATCATGTTGCACGATGTGTACCATATTCTTGGGCTTCCTGTTGATGGTTCCATGGTTTCCACTACTCCTAGCACGGACGTCATACGGGACGCGTGCTCGGTTACCATAGACATGACTGCAGAAGAGCTGAATGAGAAGTGCGGTACGAAAACCATTTAGTAGGGTAGTGCGGTGTTGACCGAGAGGATTATGGACTCGACCTTGGAGGCGCAGAGGCCCTTCAGTGTCCATTACAGTGCCTACATGTGGTTAGTACTGGGCGGATGTCTGTTTTTGGACAAGAGTGGTAACCGTACTCATCCGTCCTTCCTCAACGAGCTTATTGTTGATGATCTTCCGATCAATGAGTTTTCTTGGGGTTCAGCTGCTCTAGCATATCTGTATCGGCAGTTGGGTACGACATCTAGAAAAGATGTCGATTCAATCGCTGGTTGTCTCACGCTTCTGCAAGCGTGGATCTACGAGTACTTTCCGTGCTTCCGGCCTCAGCAGGGTATCTTGAGGTTAATTGGATTGGATCAGCTGACTGACAATGAGGTTAACTGGCTACCGTACGGAGTTGATCTTGCACGACGCATGCCAGCCACTCTATTTATTGGCTGCATCCAATATTGTAGCATCATTGAGCCATACATGCCTGATCGAGTGGTCCGACAACTTGGATTCGTGCAGGACATTCCAAGGACCATTATCAGGCCTGAGAAGGCCAAGAGACCGACGAACTTGAAGATGTATCGGGTAGACTTTCCGACCGAGATGACATCTATGATGTGGACTCGGTTTGTCCCTGGTTCGTCTTTCAGTGTTGTTTTAGGTGCCCTCACCAGACTTGGTGGTGGAGCTCCTACGGTCGCTCCTAGTTACATGTAGTGGTTGTACCGATTTTCTCATCCTCGTGTTTCTCCTGGTGGGTCATCAAATGGGAGTAGCAGATTACCAGAGAGGACTAACATGAACTATGTAAGCAGTTGTGTTTTATTATACTATAAATACCACTTAAACAAATTGTAATTTCTATAATTAATATGTTGTTCTCTTATTTGCAGTGGATGGGTTGGTCCATGGAGATTCACCGAAGATCACTGGATGAGTATCCCATCATGTCGCGTGAAATAAGGGCAATGACTGAGCAGCTGATAGTTGACTGGAAGGCGATGATGGGGTTGTGAATTACTAGTCTTTTAGTTTTATATTAGCTGGTAGTCATTGTTGTACACTACTTTGTATTCGGCATGTAATTTAAAAACTAGAGACTAATTTAATAATGGGTTTTGTTGAAACTTTGTTTAATTACTTTTATTGATTGATTTATATTACATAGCTACAACTGTTCAACCTAAGTGAAAGTACATAAATCAGTTCACTGCCTAATTAATGCATCCCACATGTTCCTTCTAACTTCATATTGCTGATCCCACCCGTCGACACTTGGCTCGTGGTGCTCGGTCCACCATCCTGCGATCGGGGGAAGAGGTGAATTTTCTACAAGATCAATACGGATGAAATGTGACCCCCTAACTGTAGCGATCACAAACTCTCGGGCGGGTACCCTAACCGTGTTTCGTGCCCGCAACGGTAAGATCGTGAGGCATGGGTAGTAGCAGGTTGGTACGGTGCCTACACCAAGAATAATAACCCTTGCATTGAACCAAGTAGCAATAGGAAATAAATCTTGAATTGTAACCATCCAATGCCGTGAATCAACCGCCCCACCATCCCATCAAATACGTTCCACATTCATCCAAACCCTTCCAATCTCGTAAATCCTTTCGTACAGGATGGATGAGCGGCGACCTCGTTTGCTATTATTTCCCGAGCGTCAAATCATTGCGCTTGATCACCGAGGAAGAAGTCGGCCACACAACGAAAGCCACAGTTACCATCGCCAATGACATCCTTCCATGTCGTGATGTAAGGCAACATTGGTCCTGGAAGCAAGTGCAAATACCTGCATTGGCGGATGTCACATGGATCTTCTGCTTCTGCACAAAATTAATGTTCAATTATTAGTACGCTACAAGATGAAATACGTGGAAATCACAATAGCCAGTCGTACCTGTTTGCTGTGCACCCCGTTGAGTGTTTTGACGGCTGACATGTTTGAAATAACAGGGATCACGTCTTGTATCATTGTTCCTTCGTCGACCTTGAACGTTGTGCTTTACATGTGGATCTTCAAGGTTTGAATGATCTGGATGTAGCTCCTCCTCAATGATGCGAGATACATTTTGAAGTACAGCAGGATCTCTACCAATGACCTCATCAACCAGGGAACGAAAATGTGCAGCTTCCTCGGTCGAGTCGTTGACGAACACGGGTACATCAACACCATCACCGATAACCAAGGTCTTCCAGAACGGATGAATTTGCTTTATATACAAGCCTGTTTGTGCAACTAGCAAATCATGTATCTGGCAAGCATATGGCAAACCATGGGTCACACGCATTGCACATCCACAACGCTCATACACCTGATAACTCAGCTCCCTCATCCTTCTAGTCTCGTTATCGAGAACTTTCAAACAATGCTGAGACACCTTTCCGTTAATACGTGACAGTGGAAATTGTCTGTACTTCTCACCAATTTTCGACCTAGACACCTCCAAACCATTACGAATCGCAATGATCTGGTTACCAATATGACAATGTACTCGGGCCCATACGGTATCCAAAGAACCTGCCGTTGATTAAAATTATAAAAAACCGTTATGATTTATAATTAGAATAACTAAAACGAAGTAAATACATCAACTACAACATAATAACAATGAACTTGTCGAAGATTCAAACCACATCTTCACGGCCGAATGTTGGCTCTCAACTCTGCATGTACTGTGTTACCTAAGTGAAGAACTTGGTTCGTCCAAAATGTCACAAATTTGGTTTTATGACAAAGCCATGTTCTCTCAACATAACTAATCACTACCGGATAACTTGCCCACCGAGCTTTCATTGTATCTACAGCAACATTATAATCCCCCTCGGTTGCAGCATCCATGATACGTTTACATTTGCCGTTTTTGAAACTCACACCGATCCTCTTGTTTTTGAACATATTAGTGACCCGAGCCTCCACATCTTTGTTAATGTGCCATCGAAAAAGTAAATGCGACGTCCCTGGAAACACTTCTCTCAATGCCGCACAGAGGTTAAGCTCACGGTCTGTCAAAAATACCGACGGTTCCTTATCATACTCAATCAACTCTCTTAATCTCTGCAAAACCCACTGATAGCTTGCCGTGCACTCGTTGCGCATGAACACATAACCGACAAGGAAATTCTGAACGACATCCCATATCAGTTGGTCTTGTAAGTCGAATCCATATTGATCACATGTGGGTACGTGCGTAGTATGTTTACCGTGATTAGGTGCACCATAAGCGCATGCTGTAGAACACCGAGATCATCAGACATGACCCAGTAAATATACTAGCTCTGTCTCGCCAAATGAAGAAATTGCTGAACAACTCCTCTCCCATCAGACATCTCCGTTCTCAAGTCATACTGGCAATTGTAAATATGTCTGATGTTTGGATGATCATCAGGAAATTGCTCTGCAATAGTCGCCATGATGTTACGCGGTGCAACCTTGGACTTTGTCATGTCGCGCATAACCTTCTTCGCATCCTGGCTCAAGCCACTAATTTTACGATGACCCTCCTGATACATAATCATTGGATGGTTATGGGTCCCAGTTGCATCATTTTTTCCTCGGATCATCCAACTATCGGTGATGAACTCATAATATATCTTGATGTAGAAAGGACAACCATTAGCTTTGGTTTTTGTGTCCTTGCGAATTGCGTTCTCAAGATCTCTCGGCTTGCTCTTTCGTCCCCAATCACATCTCAAATATTGATACGGTCGACCATCTCTGGTTTTGTTGTAAGACGATTTAACCAAAATAAATCTCATATTTATGGCAACAGCATCCGCCCATTTCACTGCATCATCAAATGTTGGAAAAAACGTGTCTTTGACAAAATTCGCACTATAATTCACACCATCACCGCCGTCTTCAAACTCCGAATCCTATAAAAATAAAATGAAACACACAAAACACTCCAATATTATTATTTTAATTATAATATTAATAACAATATTCTTAAAACAACAACAATAATAATAATAATAATAATAATAATAGTAATAATAATAATAATAATAATAATAATCATAATAATAATAATCATAACAATAATAAAAATAATAATAATAACAATAATAAGACTAATAATAAGAATATAATAATACTAATAATCAATAACATACAAAAATAATAATAATAAAAATAATAAAAATAATAATAATCATAATAATATTAATAATAATAATAATAATAATAATAATAATAATCATAATAATAATAATAATAATAATAATAACAACAATAATAATACTAATAATCAATACATAAAAAATAAAAAAAAATTTCTTTTTGTACAGGGTACTTCAGCCCAGAACATCCGGATCTTCCATGGCGGATCCGAAAATCTTAGGCGGATCTTCCATGGGGGATCCACATTTTCTGGGCGGAAGTCCTCTTTTCATAAAAAAATAAAATTTCTACGACTTACAGATTCTTCCGACGATGCCTCCGGTATACAATCGTTGTCGTCGTTCATCGTCCAAAACCCGTTGCTAAAGCTTTATAGTTTTATTTTTTTTAAAAAAATTATATTTTTGGTGGTGGGCTCGGGAATTTTGGGGCTCGGGAATTTTTTAAAGCAAGTGGTGGGTCAAAGTGCTCGGGAATCTTTTCAAAATGCTCGGGAATCGTTGTGATAAAGCGGTGGAGCCTTATATAGCCCAAATTAAGAAAAGGGCAAAATGGTAACTTCATATTCAAATGGGAGCGACGCATCAGTAGTTTTATATATCTTCAAACTCTGCTGCCATTAGTATTTTTGGTTTTTTTTTCCCCAGTTTTGGGGAAAGAAGAAGAAGAGGTTGTTGATGATGATACTGTAATTGAATGATGTTGGTGTTGTTGCTGTTGATGACTGTTTTTTTTTCTTTTTTGGTTTTTTCAACTAAGTTTAAATTATGACCAATTCTGTAGAGGTGATAAAAAAAATTGCCCGGGCCTTAACAACAAATCTCGTGCTAAAATCCGCAAAAAAGTAGCGGGCTATTCATCGTTTTCGGGTTCGGATTTTTAACTAAAAATGTGTTTTTAGGCTTGCCCAAACTTACCCTATTTTCGAACCGAGCTAGCAGGCCGGGCTGATACTGACAACCTCTACAATTCTGTAATATGCTAAAAATTCTTTTGTAATGGTGGATTTCACTTTTGCTAGACAGTAAAAAATTGAATATCAACCCTTCCCTTCCCCCATTGATTCCGGTGCCCTGAATCCCTGTTGGGCAACCCCTACCCCTGACCTCCTTTTTCCATCCAACCTCTCCCCCTTCCCCTCTCTTTCAGCCGTTCTGGCAGCCCTCCCCCCAGCCATGCCTCACCCTATAAAAACCCGAATTCTAAATCAAAACCCATCAAGTACAAATCAAAACCTAGAATTCCAAATCAAGTCCCATAGTATGATCGATTGAATTTTTGATGAAATCATTGAGTTCTTGAGGAAGTTCCATTCTTGATCTTGCAAACCCTTATCAAATTGGAGAAAAATTCTAGGGTATTGAAGATTGAAGATTTCCTGCAAATGGAGGAATATTGAAACAGAGAGAGAAAGAAGAGAGAGAAAGAGGGAAGAGGGTCGGGTTTTCGATGGTTTTGGGCAAAATTCGTCCCGACCCCCACAAGATTCGCTACGAAAACCACTCCAAACACCCCGAAACCCAAAAATCGGAGGTGGGGTAGGGGTTTTCGATAGTTTTGAGCAAGGTTTTCTGGTTTCGCGTGATGGTGGGTGGGGGTTTCTGGATTCGAGGGTCAAGTTTCAATAGAGGTGGCTGGGTGTCGTGTTTCTGGATTTTGACTAGGGTGGTGGCTGGTGGGGTGGGGTTCCTTGCTGCCGGAGGTGGAGGTGTGGTGGGCAGAGGTTTGGCCGGAATGAGAGCCATTCATGGAGGTGTGGAAGGGAGGAAGAAGATGAAGAGGAAAAGGAAAAAAAAGGTTTTTTGTTTTTTGTTTTTTTAAATATATAATTTTTTTAAATCAAAAAAAATTTGGACAAATGAAAATGCGACACATGGCAGGTGACTTATTATTGTAGGTTAAGTGACATGCTTGGCCGAATAAAATAGAACATCCTCAAAGTTTGGATTATTGTGAAATAATTGAAAAGACGGATTAATAATAATATAAAAAAAAAAAAGACTGCTCAAAAGTTAGATTATTAGAATCAAATTTTCCTTGTATTTATAAGTCTCTCTAATTTAAATAAAGGTTTTTTAAAAGTGCGAAATTTTGAAAGGGAAACCTCACTAAAAAAATATTTGAAAAGCTACTGTTCTTTTTTAAAGGGGACCAGTCCCCCTCTTTCTCTCTTTTGTTAAACATCATATGAAAAATTTGCCTTGAAATCCGATATTCTTCATAATCACACATTAAGGTAATAGTTAACAGAGATAGTAGTATAACTTAATCTCACAAATATTATATCTCATTAAAAAAAACATCACATCAACTTTTCCAACAAAAATAAAAAATGTAACAATGCACCTAGAGATAAATACAATGGGGCAAATTAAAGGGAGTATCATCCAATAAAATAACATCTACGACATTATGAAAAGGTTGCAAAAGTCAATTGTGGCCACTTTATCATCAAATTAGAGGTGTACAATAAATATTGTAATCCGTTATAAAGTTGCTTTAAAATATCAAAAGTTACCCCTAAAATGAATAAAAGTTATCTTTTATATAAAAATTATCCCAATATAAGTTAAAGTTACACATTCTTTATTGATAAAGTTTACGCTCTTTAAATGACTAAAAATTAAATTTTAGTGATAAAAATAATTATATTATCCTTATTAAACTTATCTTGTTATCTATTTACATTAGAAGCGTTGTAGGTTTAAAGTTTGTTACCCAACTTGACTAAAAAAGTTATTCTAATGTTGTGGAATGTACACTAACACTAAAGTAAATTGGGTATACACAAAAGGTTTTGTAAACATGATTATTCTTTGGTTTCATTTAATTTCAATACACATAGTAATCATAATTAGGCTTGACAAGTACTTCATCTTATCTTTACAAAATCAATTATTTAATAGGTCTAAAGTCAAACATGGCCCAGTTGGTCATCCTTATAATTTATATTTTATTTGATAAGAAGAAGAACCTATTGGGTCAGAACCTCTCATAGGTCAATCTGTTCCGAATTAACGGGCTAGATTTTTTAGGAGTGGAGGGGAGAAGGATAAGAAAATTTAATCTCCACTTTAAAGAACCTGTAGTGGGATTTGATCTCACAACATGTACAAACTTTCCTATTAGACTATACCTTACTGTATCTTTATAATTTTTATTGTATTTGGTCTCTTTTCGCTATAATTTTTTATTTTAATCTCATCTTATCTCTAGGATGTACTCATGACTATGTCCTATACTTCATATGAACCAAATACTTGGGTTAAATTACCAACCTTAAATAGCTAACACTTAAAAGTGTCAAATATTTTTTCCTCAAAAGAAAAAAAAAAAGTGTCAAATATTAAGGTTTATGATGGGCTATATGTTCTCTTTGCCTTAGCTTACAAAAATGATTCAACG